CTCGAAGATCTACGACGCGATAGTTTGCGGCGAGGAAGGCAGCGTTTGTTGGGCAAGAAATTCGCTCCGTGGCCTGTTCTTCGACGCTTTGACTAGGGAGGTTGCGTCTTTCATGGCTAAGGTTGCACCAGATGCAGACGGGATCGGTTACCAAGTGACGACTCCTGCCGCAGAAAGACTCTTAAAGTGCCTCTCCAGTATTGCAGAGACGTTCACGCATGTAGTGGCGCAGGACTGGGAAAGTCTCCCTGGGTTTCTTCGCCCCTTTCGTCTTCGAGAAGAAGAGCCTGGAGAAGACGAGTCCGCGGCTCCTCCGAGGAAGAGGAAGAAGGCGGCAGACGCGACGATCGACGCCACGCACGACGCATGAATTTGTTGGGCAAGTTCGTTGCCGATGGGGACGGGAAGAAACACAAGCAGCATGCCTGGGGTTGACACATAAGATAGGAAGGATGACCAGAACGCCCAGCGTCGTTCTCACACGAGAAAAACGCGGCTGATCTTAAACGGTCACAACGCGCATAGGTCACTCGTGAAACCATTCCTGAGAGTCCTGGTCTATACTTTACAGTACCAGAGCGACGACACAGCCGCAGGATGCGCCCGCCCCTCGCCTGTCTTGTTTCAGGCGACAGCTGGGCACCTCCATCGCAGACCTACAACTTCAGTTTTTTACGTCGGGCGTTCGCGTGTACTGGTGCCGAATGAGGAGCGGGCTGAGGGCTGTGTCTTGATCCGAAAATTGTGCTCAAGTGCGTTCGTCTCGTAGATGATATTAGTGCACTCCTTGCATAAACCCTTTTCGTGTATTCCTGGCAAGAACCCTTTTAGTGTATTCCGGGCAAGAACCTGGCCTACAATCGTGATCGGCGCAAGCTTTCGTAGAAAATCAATTTCGACAGCTCGAGTGAGTAGCCACCTTCTAGGTATGGAGAAACTTTTTTGTTTTTAACTGCGCCGCAACACATATCCGAGCTTTCGCCATGGTGTATGACACTGACAATCGGTCTTCCGATATTATTTCGATTAGAGTACCCCTTAGTGTCTTCAACGAATGGCAACAAAAAGCAGGGACGTTTGCGGTGTGAGCACCTCAGTTGTAGAGATTGTGTTGATGTCGCATACTTGAGGCGAAAGATTATGATCCATTAATAGAGTAACGGTATCCATCGAGAAGAAAAAAGTGCCAACGTCGTGGAAACACGTGCTCTCAGCGCTTCGTCGGGATGGAGTGGAGAGCAGTGCCTTCAGTGGCTTCGTCAGGGATGTCGCCGACCTGATTCGCGATGCACAAGACCCCCCGGGCAGATGGGACCTGGTCGAGGACAAGTTATACGACGTTCTTGGGAACACTCGGCCGGGTCATGACATAAGCGAATGCCTGGCAGCATTGGCCCCGCTTCGACTCCATTGCTCACTCCCCGCTTTCGAGGCGTTGGGCAGGGGTGTTGCCGAGTCTTTCTACATGATGTGGCGGAGGATTGTGCAAAATGCCCCAGCTTCGGTTGAGGGTTCGAGTCTAGGCTTAGAGCACCTCCAGGCAGTGATGCGGTCTCTGGATGATTTCGAAGATGGTGCTGTCAATCTCTGGAAGGTGTACGAAAATCTACCACGGCCTCCCGCTCTTGACATGTGCGAGCTCATGGAGCGCCATCCTCCACACCTCTGAGCATGGGATCTCGTGACTGATCTGGCTACTCTCGAAGTATCAGGTGTATTGGCGAAGTATCAATGGGGTGACAGGGAGAGAATTTTTACAGTCGGTCTTCAGCAGATTGCCACACCGACTTGACCTTGTACACAAATTTTCCGAGCATGGCCTTTTTGTTGGCGACAAATTCCACCAAGCGTTGGCGGTCTTCCTCCATGTGTGGAAGACTCCCGGTGGGAGGCTCTTCCTTCCAGAAGAAGACGCCAGTCGTTTGCTGTTGAAGACTTGCAGAAACGGCGATCGCGATGCTTGGTTCTGCGCACACATTGAGTTAGCACGGTACCGCCTTGGTTCTGCGTTAGTCAGACTGCTCGACACCGATCCGCTTTTTCCAGACGTCAGCGGCGGCGCGAACGAGCGTCGTGCTGGTGGATTTCAACCACTCTGGGACTTCTTCCGAGATGATTACTTCACGACGTTGCAACTTTTCCGGCGGGGTGCCTACAGCCCGTGTCCGGGCGGTCTCGCGAGCGGCAGCGACATGCGTGGCTTTGCCGCTGATGCGCAGAATGTGCACACGGCGTACGCGACAGAACACCTCAAAGCGTGCGCGAAAGCAGCAAGGGAGGTCCTAGCGGAAAAGGGCGAGGCAAAGCCGGAGAGTGAAGCCATGGTGAGTAAGGAGGAGCTCCGCAGTGCATTAGCGCGGACAGTGCGGCCGGAAGGAGTTCTCGCCCGGCTACAGAGTGAGGCGCCCAACGCAAGCGGACAGGACTGCGCAGCAGTCGTGGAGGCCGTCGACTTCGCTTTGGATCGATTTTGGAATCAGCTGCCAGCGGCTTCTGGTGGCATGATGATGATCTGCAGCGGGCCGGCGGCCGTGTCGCTTGTGCAGGGGTTCCTGATGCTGAACGTGTCCGAGGGAAAAATCGAGGAGTCCGACGCGCGTTTCCTTCTTTGCCAGCAGTTGTTAGAATGCGAGTCAGAATACGGATGGAATATGCGGGCATGCGCGCCCGGAAGCATCGCCAAAGTGCTCAGTCTACTGCAGGGGCGAGTCAGTCTCTCCGGCGAGGACAAAAGCGCTGCATCTGGCAGTGTCCACGAGTGCGAGGAGGTTTTGCGTACGCAATTGACGCACGATCCTGACGCAGTCAAGGAGGAGGCGCGTGTGCGTTTGATCGAACACTGCAGGGAAGTCGCCAACCGCGAACAAATCGCGAAGATCTACGACGCGATAGTTTGTGGCGAGGGCGGCAGCGTTTGTTGGGCAAGGAATTCGCTCCGTGGCCTGTTCTTCGACGCTTTGACTAGGGAGGTTGCGTCTTTGCTGGCTAAGGTTGCACCAGAGGCAGATGAGAGCGGTTGCCAAGTGATGACTACTGCCGCAGAAAGACTCCTAAAGTGCCTCTCCAGTATTGCAGGGACTTCCACGCATGTAGTAATGCAGGACTGGGAAAGTGTGCCAGCGTTTCTTCGCCCCTTTCGTCTTCGACAAGAAGAGCCTGGAGAAGACGCGCTCGCGGCTCCTCCGAGGAAGAGGAAGAAGGCGGCAGACGCGACGATCGACGCCACGCGCGACGCATGAATTTGCTGGGCAAGTTCGTTGCCGATGGGGACGGGAAGAAACACAAGCAGCATACCTGGAGTTGACACATAAGATAGGAAGGATGATCAGAACGCCCAGCGTCGTTCTCACACGAGAAAAAGGGCGAATGATTTTATTTTGTGAAACCACTACTGAGAGTCGTTTTCTATACCTCACAGCACCAGAGCGACGACACAGTCGCAGGATGCACCTCGCCCTCACCTATCTTGTTTCAAGAGATAGCTGGGCACCTCCATCGCAGAGCTGGAGCTTCAGTTTTTTAGGTCGTGCGTTCGCGTGTACTGGTGCCGAATGAGGAGCGGGCTGGGCGCTGTGTCTTGATTTGAAAACTGTGCTCAAGTGCGCGCTCGTCTCGTAGGTGATATTAGTGCATTCCGGGCAAGGGCCTGGCCTACAATCGTGATCGGCGCGAGCTTTCGTAGAAAATCAATTTCGACAGCTCGAGTGAGTAGCCACCTTCTAGGTATGGAAAAATTTTTTTGTTCTTAACTGCGCCGCAACACATATCCGAGCTTTCGCCATGGTGTATGACACTGACAGTCGGTCTTTCGATATTATTTCGATTAGAGTACCCCTTAGTGTCTTCAACGAATGGCAACAAAAAGCGGGGACGTTTGCGGTCTCGCCGGGCCGGCGTGGCAAGTGCCGGTGGCAAATCCACGGTAAGCGGGTCTTTTACAAATTCGTCTCTGGCGATGAAGTCCGTACTCGCTCCGATGCGTTGAGTTACGACTTTGCGCGGTATTTGTTGGAGGATCGCGCTGTCCCCCTTGTGTCTATTTCCGCGCACGTTAAAGACGAGGCTACCGGGATCCGCCGCAGAAGCATCATACTCGAGCAGCGACATCTTCTGAGGGTTTCTCTCCGGCAGAGGTTCCTGGGCGTGCATATGATGACGCGCAGATCTTCGCGCGCAATAAAAAGAGGAAGGCGAATTGACCCGGCCACCCCCTCAAAACTAATCCCCTTTGAGTGATCTTATTTTCTGACGAGCTGAATCGTTCTCACTCAATGACTCGACACTGGCTTCTGTTCATATGCATATCTTATGTGGTAACTACCCGACTGATCGCGGCGTATCCAATGGTTATTTTCTTCGAAGCGAAACACGTCTACGAAGCGACATAGTTATCACGTGTTCGCACCTGCTGGCCACAAGGACCTCGAACGTGGCCGGGGCGTGAAATTAGAGCGCTCTCCACAATGACTCGTGTTATAAAGGATGGCGAGCCCATAAAAAGTAGGATCGTGCGAGGCTTCACATCATCGCCACTAGGAAAATCTCACTAGGAAGAGTCGCTAAAAGGAATGACAAAGGTGCACTAAGTGGTTTACGCAGTATTTTTCGTCACTACACGCTGCGTTTTTAGAGTTATCGTGAAGCCCCGTCGTGTGGATAACTGTGTCCTCAGAATAATGGCGGCCGAGTCGGGTACTCGTGTGACGCATGATTTTTGCCGCGCGAAGGACGAGGCTCGACGGGCACAAGAGGAAGCGCGAACGGCCTTCCTCGAGTTACGAGGGCGGTGCGATCAGAAGTCCAACATATTGTCGCGCAACCTTGCTGGCGAGTGGGCGCTGGTTTTGTTGCGAAATTCTCCGTCTCGAATTTTCCATCCATGAGTGAGCGGCTCTTCAGGCTTCCGCTCGCATCCGCGTGGATGGCGTGTCGTATCGACGGCGCGGTGATCTAATCCATCCGGACATGCCACTCAGCCTGACGGTCGGTGGTCTGAAGTTTATCGTGGCCGACGAGCTCACGGCAAGTGCGAACTGGGAAGGTCCTCCGATACCCGCAAGTGCCATCGCCCTGATCGCGTCGAGGAACTGCGCTCCTCCCACGCTTGACGTCGATGCCGAAATCGAGATGAGGTGCCTCAGTCACTTCTTGGATGGGGGACTGGAAATCGCCTCGGCGTACGGGGATTTGGTGGAGTTCGTGGAACGACGCAGAAACTCCGAACGACCAACTATCGACTATGACATCTCACTTGCGGATCTTTTTCCAGGTCTACCTGCCTCGCCCTCCCGTAGTTGAAATTCCCTTCATCGTCGAGGCAAATGCGTTCCTTCTAGCCAGGAATAACCCACGTGATCTCGCCTTTATCGGATTTTAGCAGTCCGAACGAGCTTCGGTTGCATCTGCGGTCGTTGGTGAAGTCTTGTCTTCCGTTCAAAAGTGAGCCCCTCGCAACGAAACCACAATGCTTCTACTGGCACCCTGTCGATGCGGATATATCGCGGACCCTGTGCCGGATCTGCCAGATGCGTGCCGCCCTGCAGGGGGATTTCATGCAGCTCAGAGAGACGCTCATGTTGGGGAATCCGGTGGTGTGGTACCGATCACATTTACGAAACATGCGAGGACGTGTCCTCTTTACTAAGTTAGCCAGTGTAGTTTTTTTTCACTAGAGTCGGGGCGTCCTCATGCTAAGAGCATCGCTCAGTAGAACGCGTGCGGCTCTAACGGCGTTGGAAATAATCGACAATGTTTGTCTTCGTGCCAAAGGGGAAGCTCTGGCTTCCATATTTGCGGACATCCAGCGTGCGGACGTGGAGGTGGATGAGCAGGAAGACTTCCATCCGGAAGCGTGCACCAGAACGGCTCCGCTGTCCGACGCCATCGAACGAGAAATATTCGCACTTGATATGATACGGCGCATTGGTCCCGCGCATGTGAGGGCGCTCGTCCAGAGGGAAATGGCGGATTCGTGCGGCGACGGTCTGACTGGTGTACCCTGTCCGTACTCCTCGCGAAGACTCCGCCCGGTTTTCGAGGCAGCGTCGAAGTATGTGTTGAGTGGACACCTTCAGGGCCGTGAGTGGTTCGGCCTCCTTCTTTTGACCAGAGCCTCGGGGGCCGGGGAATCATATTCCCACCTCTGGGAGTCGCCGGAGAAGAATCAGCGCGAAATCGCCGTGGAACTAGAGGAGATGCACTCGCGTTTGTCATTTTTTTTGCAGAAGAACCACATTTACCTTTCCATGTCGGATTTCCGCGAAGACGCATTCTCGTAGACGAGGACTGGGAACGAAACTGGAAGGCGCGTCATGATGATGGTCGGCGGAGTCTCTCGCCAGTAGGAACCAAAAAATAGGGCGAGGGGCTTCTTCTTGAGTATGAAAATATATTTCTTGTGGCCTCGAAAAAAAAGGGGCGAACGCATGCTGCAAGCGCGGGGAGCCTTCTCGGAGAGGAGTATCTATTTTCTATTCGTGGAATAAACATGGGAATCCAGAACGAGATCGGCGCCCTCAGGGTCAGATTGCATCCGCGCCACTATGGACGGTCCCACCTCGCATAGAACGGCCATGAAGCAACATTCTATTAGACACAAAAACTGAAGGCTCGCTCACTTGTTCCCATCAGGATGCAAATTTTTCGCAGCACCCCCGGAAAATGATAACAAGGAATGTTGGCTCACGGAGCTGCTCAGGTGAAAAGCAGGTTCCCCGGTCAAGAGAAGTCGCGTCTCTGAGTTTGTTTTCCATAGGTGACTCTGAATCTTAATTGAGGCCGCACCGAAGAAACCACGCATAACCCTGGTAGGTAACGGCGACGATTTCTTCAAGGTACTCTTGCCCTGCTCGTGGTAGATATCCATCATGAAGATAGACTGCGAACTAACACAGACAGGGGAGGAACGTAGGTAGACTACTTAGGTAGACACGACACCACGAGCAAGAGGAAACTAAGATGGGCAGGATTTTCCACTGCTCGAAGGGGCGCGAGGAAAAAGAACGCGACTGGGTGGACTGGATCGCTGCCAGTCCCGCCGACGAAGAGATCCCCGGCTCGCGCAGCATGCCCCGGGCTTCATCACGTGGCGGTCGCTATAGATTCCAATCGCAGTACCAAGTTGAAGGACATGATGCGGAGGAGGACCATCGCAAGACCTTACATTGCAGGACTGGGAG